ATTGAAATAAGAATATGGATTATGACGGTATGAAAGAATTGGTCCATCTTTACTGTCTCCGATATGTTGTTTAACAGCTTTTCCATTTTCATCAAATTGCATAGGATAACGTTCATTATATGCTTTACGTTTAGGATAATCCGTCATTGTTAATTTATACCCATTTATGACTTTAATATTTCCTTGACCATCAGTAACAAAGACTTCATTTATACCATCAGGCTTTCCATTTGGTCCTGTAATGTCTGCTTCATGTGCTTCCCAATTTGGTCCATGACGTTTGGCATATGCTTGAGCTTCTGGTAATGTTAAAACGTTTCTCATTTGTTTAACATCCTTTTGAAGACCGGCAACAATGTGGACTAATTCTTTCATTCCGTCTGGAACTTTCATAGTTCTATTATATGCACCCTTTTTTTGTTCCTTGTTTTAATGGAACCTGTAGAAGATTTGCAATTTCTGTCATGTTTAATTATAAATAAAAAATAAAAATTAATTATAAAAAGTTATTCGAATTTAATGGAACCTTTATTTAAATCAACTATTATTTTCTCATGTTCTCCTAATTGTTGATATTGTGTGTAAAGTTCATTAATGCTCATTGGTAAATTCACTTGATAAAGCATAACGTTCAACTGTTGACGACTAAACCCACTGAAAATGAAAAGGGTGGACAGGTTTGATTTAATGTTTGTGCTTAATGCTTTAAAGTATTGAACAGCCATGAAGAATGAACACTGAATGTGTCGACATTGAGTTAATAATTGATTAAAATATGATTTCTCATTAGTTATTAGTTTTGATTTCACGGCATCATCTAGAAAAATTAGTGAATGCAAAAATTCTTTATCAAAATTTGAAATAGAAAGTGTTTCAAATAATTCATCCCTTTGTTTATCAATAATTTTATCCTCTAATCCTTGCTTCTTGATTGTATTATATAACTCTTTATACATTAAAAAGTTTTTCAAATAATCTTCCGCTTCTTCTTGTGATAAATAAATAATTGGAATTTTGATTAAATGCTTTAAAGATTCAAATGTATCATCTGAAGGTGAACCTGAACGGTTGATATAAATTAACACATGTGAATAGGGTGAAGTGTTAGCAATAATGATAATTTGTTTTAATATCGTTAATGTTTTACCTTTATTTTGTTTACCAATTGCTGCAGTGATTGAATTTAATAACATTCAGAATATGGAATTTTCATTAATTTTTCCTTAGATAGAGCATTTTATTATCACTCAATGCTTCATTAATCATATCATCTATGTATGTATTATATACTCCTGTTAATTCTTCAGAATTGAAATCCATTTAATCAAAAATAAATTTATAATTTTAAACATTTCTATTCATCAATATTTCATCATATGAACTTCTATACTGTGGTGGTGTACCTGTTGAATGATATTTCAAACCTTCATCCGGTGTCCATGTCCAATATGTAGTCCTAGTAAACCAAACCTGAGGAGGATTTGTCACCTTTGAACAGTAAGTGTCATTTTCACCCTGAATGATTGGATAAGCTTTCACTTGTACTGTAACTTGTGAGTTGAAAGTTTCTAATCCATCAAAGAATATACCCGCTCCATCACGTTGAACTGGAATAGTGCATAAGAATGAAGTTTGGTCTTTCCATGTTCTAGCTAATGGCGTGCCATTATCATCATTCAGTGGTCTAGTTAATGAGTCCTCGTATTCTTCCGTGCATTCATTCACTCCATCTAAATCAGAAGCTTGAAGCATACGTGTAAAGAATATGTCACCCACTGTGGTCATCGCTTGATCGGGGAAGTTTCTGGAATCTATAGTGACCTGAAGACCTCGAAGCATTGGATTTTCTAAAACTGTTCTTTGCATTGCATTCTTCGGAAATGCTAACACAATATCTGTAACATTATGAAGAGCATATGAGAAATCAGAGCTGATACCTTCAGGAGTGATGCAACCTCCATTTAGTGAGCGAACGTCAATATGTTGAGCTGGAATCATGAATGGATCTTCCTTACTGAATAAACGTGGTATTGCTTTAACTGATTCTTCAATTAAACCATATCCTGGTGTAATACATTTATCCTCTAAAACTTCCATCTTTGTGCATGAAATAATAACGTCTTCAACTGTTGCGTCAGCAGATGTAGCGGCTAAGCTTGTAATTAATTTTGCAGGAAGTCCGATTTGTTGGAATTTGCGATCGTATTTATAAACATGATTCATAATCTTTTCATAATTTTCATCAGTTATCTTTTCATAAACGTAATTTTGTAAATCAGCAACTCTTAACGGGTCAACTGGCAAAATACCAAAGTATCCCTGAAAACATAATATTTAAGAATGATATCACCAAATGATTTAGGATAATCGTCGAACGCCTGAAATGCTAACAAATCGTTTACTGGAATAATCATATCAAAAGTGATATCAACTTCTTCATTTGCTCTCTTGAAAACTTCGAGGGTCAATATATTTACCACATACTGAGTTATCATATTTTTGGACATTGTTATATAATGAATGAACAAACTTTTTAACTTTCCTTTCGATTTTGGTTTATATGTTGCAAATGCGAAAGATTCACGGGCACAATCCATCTGAAGATAGCCGGCATCACCTCTTTCGGTTTCTACTTCTAATTGTTTAAAGTTTTGATTTGATGATTTATAACCAACGAATAAACGCATGCATTTAAAAGCGGCATCACATGTGAAAGCTTTATTTGAAACTAAAGTTGCTTTAACTTTACGTTTAATATATGTGTCACCTAATTGGTTCACATCAAGAGCCGGATTTGTAATTCTTAAATGAGTTTGTTTATCATCAAAATATGGAGCATCAGAGTCATAGCATGAACTTTCAAGTTCTCTATAATATCTTCTACCGTCATTCTTTGCGAATATTTCATTTATCTTTTCGAATGAATGAAATACATTTCCATTAATCGGTTTAGTGTTTGGCACCAAATAGTTAGTCGTCATTTATGATGAAATAAAAAATCAAAATTAAAAGATGAAAATGAATTTTTAATTTTAATGAAATAATCAACTATGGCTGCAGGATTCTTTAAAAAGTTATGGGATAAAGTAAAAAGAGGAGCGCATAAAGTTTGGGAAACAATGAAGAAGGGAGCAAATTGGATATTTAAGAATAAAGAAGCAATTAGTGACGTTGCGGAACAAATAGCACCTAATGTTCCGGTAAGAGAAGTTTAAATAAGGAGCAAAAGTTTATCAAAGACTACAACCGATATTGAGATAAAAATAATATTTATTTTTCCACTACTTTCCTCCTATTTTATTAAGTATTCCTTCAGCAATTCCACCAACTGCGTTACCTGCTTGTGCTCCCATCGCTGGATTACCTGCTTTAGCACCTAATACTCCACCAATTATAGTTCCTGCCGTTTTCGCTACTGGTGCCAAAAAGTTTGCAATGGGTTTTATTATTTTCTGATGAACCCAACTTGCTGCTTTCTTAATTCCTTCCCATAACTTTTTAAAGAATCCTGCCGCCATTTCTGATTTAATATTAATTAAAAAATATATTTCATCACTTATATTCTAATTTTTAATTAATGATAAATGAAGCCTATTTTAAAAATAAATAAAACAGAGGAGGAAGAAATTAATGAAAGTGAAGATATTCATCAGAAAATAAACATTGTTAAACCCATTACTGAAACAAAAATTTTTTCATCTGTTGAAGAATTTAATGACTATTACGCGAAGAATAAAAAATTATTTGAAGAATTGACAACATGTAAATTGAATAAAATGTTTAAAGTTGATGGATTCAAAATTTCAAAAATAAAAGGTGTTGTTAGTTTAAAATCTATTCCTCAATCAAGAATCACCTCATTAATGAAAATTGATGATTTAACAAAAAGAATAGAAATTATTGAAGAAAGAATGAATCAAATAATTGATTTCATAAATCATAACTCGTTGAGCCCGGGTCCTTAAAGCCCAGGACTTAAAGTCCATCACTGAGTTCAAGGTTATATTCATCAAATATTTCATTATTAAATGCAACTTCTGCTAGTTTATTTATTTTTTCAATACGATCATTTGAAAGTCTATCGTTTAATTTTTTCTGAAGTTTTTCATTTTCTAGTTCTGAAACTTTATTTGGATGATATGTAAATTCATGAAATTCTTTGGCCTCGGTTTTGATCATTAATTTACAAAGAACTTTAGTGGTTGGAATTCGTTTAAACCATTTATCCTTAATATTTGTTATAAATTCAATATCTGGAATTAATTCCCAAATTTTTGCATTTTCAATTAATTTATTATCAAATGCAAAAGCAATGGGTTTAATATTAAACTTACCTTTATAATATAAACTTTCTACATAATCATCGAAATAAACATCTACTTGTTTAATATTTTCAAGAATTGGTGAAAGAACATCCATTAATTGATTGACGGTTACGAATCTTGATCCACTCATTTTCTTACGAATTAAAAAAAATAAATTATTCATAAGTTATATATTAATTTAATAAATTATATTATCATTTATAATAAAATTTTTCAAAATGCAGATAAATTTTAACATGTTCGAAATGAAATTATTATAAAATATATTCTTTTTATTAATGGTAATATAGGAATTGTAGGAATAAAAACTTTTTATAAATTATTCATAAATTTTTAAAATCTGCTATTCGGAAGTATGTTCAAAAATCATTCAATTATGTGAGAATTCTTACGATTACAAAAAAAGTCACACAACCCGTCATATATACTACTTTCTGAATTCTCGGCATTTCCATTATCAAATAGATACACAACCTAAATTCGGGCTCTTGCTTGAATGACATCATCCCTTTGTCATGAAGTCATGCAAAGCAGAATATTTATTTTATGTTGAACTTTTGATTGGATTTTGCGAACTCGGTTCTTAATTGGTACTAGTAAAAGTTCATTTAATCATAGAATCTGATATCAAATATCAATTTAGATAGTATAATATATAAACAAAATTTTAAATTTTCATTGGAACAAAAATGCTGGGGTTTTAACAATTTTCTTCATCAAATTCACTAATTCGGCTGTTTCTGGGCCTTTGTCTGTCGGCAAATTTAATGAATATTGGAATGTTGAACCTTCTGAAGGGCGCATTGCAACATTACAGCTATTTGCTTTCTGGGTAATTTGTGTGATGGTATGAAGCATCGCAAATCTAACATCTTTTGCAGATAATGTTTGAAATTGGAAAGGAATGGACCAGCGTTCCCAGACTTGAGAAGACTGTACATCTTTAAACCATCCCTTAACAGGGGTATTATAAGAGAGTGATAAAATTATCCAAGTATTTTGCGCTCCGCCAAAAATCGCATCTTGCATTGGTAATAATCTTTTATGAATATTTTCTGAGCTTTCTGGCGTTTCAGCACTCGCATAAGCAATATCAACACCAGACATAATAATTGATTTTGGAATTACTTGTGTATCAATTGCTCGATGGAATAATATAGTATGAATAATTGCTTTGGCACAGTCTAAAAATTGATCTGGGCTAATGTTTATTGGATCAAGTTGGTGTTCTGTAGGTTTTGTAGTCATTTTGACACTTTTATCAAATAAATTGAGGATTTAGAATCACGAAAAGGCTGTTGTCTGTTCCTTTGCAATATCAACTATAATTATTATTAGTAAGAATCTCGTTTGGATAAATAAGGGCTGGAATCTCTTTGTATCATAAGCTTGTCGAGTAGGGGTAATTTTAGCTAAAAGTGACACACCTGTAAAAGTGACACATCCGTGAAGGGTGTGATTACCGATCGGTAATTTCGACAGTTTAGAATTTAAAATTTTTTATGGAACTGTTGCGAGTTTCATAAAGAATTTAAGGAATATAAGCAAAGATTTGAATCAAAATCTTAGACCTAAGCCGCTCGATTCGCTCGCGGCTTCCGCGAATTACAGATCAGCAAAGATTTGAATCAAAATCTTCGAACTAAGCCGATCGCTTCGCTCGCGGCTTTCTTTATTATTTTAAATTTGCATATTTCCATCAAAAGTTCATAAGGTAAAAAATTTCGTTTATATTATTGCAAAATAAAATCTTCATTATCAAAATAATATTAAATAATAATATAATATAATTTATAAACAACTATTATTTAATAAAGTTTAATTGCCAAGGTTCATCTAATTTTTTGATTTTTAATGTTTTATGAATTTTATTTATCATGTATATATCTAATGAAGATTATATATGTAGAAGATAAGTACCTTAATATGTACGTAAATTTTAATGAAATTTATACAACATTATAAAAATTTATGAATAAAAACTTGATATAAATAAGGGTTTCGTTTTGCGAAAAAAACGTACAATACGCAATTTCGCTAAAAAACATTTAGCTAGCAATTTCGACATTTGACTCCACTCAAGACGTCACTTTTTTAATTTTGCGGTATCATATTTTTGGAAAATCTTTATGAATATTATATAAAAATCTCTTTAATATCTATATTTCATATTTTTATCGATTTTTAAAGTTTTTGCGAAAAGTATTCAATTATTTTTGCTATTTGGTCGGGTAAATGTCAGATTTGCGACATTTTCTGATATGATATTCAGATTCTACGTTGATAATAATGCTTATAGAACCCTCTTGCTATTGTGTCAAAATTGCGAAACCGATAGCAAAAATATCTCGCAATATCAAAATTGAGATATTGAGTGAATTATGCATTATAGAGATTAAAAATCTGATTTGTGAAAACATCTCATCAGTTTCTAGCTAATTCAAAAATCTTTACTATCTTATTCGATTAAAATGAAAAGGGAATAGTTTCATTATGCTTTAAATGACAGCCTTATAATCTAATCATAGTTTTCGCTCAATATGCAGCATTTTTTTTTCGAAATCTATGGTCAATGTCCTAAATACTGATTGCTTTGCATTCATATCTCTTACATTTTCTATACCCACATCACTATTCATTGCTATTCCTATCTTTTTCATTTTTGTTTGTTTCTCATAATTTCTCAAAAAACATGATAACTTGATATTTGTAAATATCATACTTTATAACGTAAATAAGAACTTGACCTATTAAGAAAAGCAGTAATGAAAAGAAAATCTGAAATTCATAAAAATTACAAGTTTCTGATGACAATTAGCTTAATTAAACCAGGTACAAGATTATATAATTGTATTTTCTATCCAATTATCCATATAATATCTTATCCAGAAAAAATAACTTGATCAATACCAAATGATTTTTTAACTAGTAAATAAAGTATTTTCTTTACACACACATTGTATATCATAGTTTTTTTTTTGGTTTCGCAAAACATCCAAAAACAAATATGCTATAAAAGTGACAATTTTAGCAAAACGAAACCCTTAAAGTCATTTCAAGAGCCTTGTACCGATAAACTAGCCTTGTACTGCCATTTTATGGTGATGTAAAGTATTCAAAAAATTTGCAATGTAAACCATTACATGGCAGAAACTTTAAAATAAACAAAAACATGACACTTAGTACAGGGGCTTTTTGGCTGGTGAAGTCAGATAAAACGTGGCTCAGGTGCTCGTTTAAAATTAAAAATGGAATTTCTCACAGTCGAATTTCTTGGTAGACAACAAAAGTTTATCATCAATTGTCGCGCCGAAGGTATGACATATAGTCAAACTAAGCTTGCATGGGAGGAAGAATACCCAGATCTCGGAACTTTAACATCCAATCTCATTGCTACTGCACTTAAAAGAGCTGCATTAGGTCTATACTGGGAAAAAGGGAATCATGGCGGTGCAGATCCATACCTATGCGAGCGTGATCAGCTCACTTTAAAAGAAATTATCGAAGATTCTGCTTACAAAGGTGAAGCTCTAGAAGCAGCTGACATTATTGACGAGGCGTTCAAGTTGAAAGAGCTCAGAAGAGATTATGGTTACAGATTCCTTCTTGAGATTAATTGTCCTACTCTTGCAGAAGAAGTTATCAATACTCTTGGTGGTGATGATGTATCGAGACCTTATGTTAACCATATTTTACAGCAATTGCATTGCAAGCTTAAGGCATGCCAAGAGATTGAAGAATCAAGATACATGGCGTGTGAACCAAGAATTATCGAAGAATTCTACGATAAACATCGTGAAACAATCGAAAGTACTCCAGAGGAGTTGATTTTTAGTATCGATGAAACATTCATAAACAAATTTAAGAAGAAGAAAGTTGCATTACCTGAGGAGATAGAGCATATGATCGCCAAAGGAATTCCAAACTTTCCGCACATTACAGCTTTATGCGGATGCTCAATGACAGGCAAATCTGTCCCACCTCTCTTTGTTCTCCCATGTATTGCAGAACTACCTAGAGAACTGAAAGTATTCCAGCGCGAAAGACATTGTTGGTTTACTTCTACGCCAAAAGGCTGGGTGAACAGAAGTGTATTCTTATTGTATTGCATTTTCTTCATCGAGTGGCTTAACTTTGAACGCCAGAGAATGCCAGAAGATATACGTGACAAGCCTGCTCTCATTGTGTGTGATGGACACTCCAGCCGCGAGAATCCTCTGGCATTGTTCCTTTTGGCAAGTGCCAACATCAAATTAATTGTTCTTCCCGCACATACAACACACATTTTACAAGTATTTGATGTTGGCATTGCCAAAAGATTAAAGTCCAAATTCACGGATTATCTGAGAGATTACATTAAGGCACCGAAGCAAGAGTTCAACAGCAATGCTGCAATGATGCGCTACGCCATTATCTACTCATTTATTAGCGCATGGCAAGAATCAGTATCATTAAGAACGGTTCAAAATGCTGCGCCGCCTGCGGTCTTTGCCCTTGTTCTGTAGAAGCTCTCAAACATAATAAGTATGTTCGTGAATTGACTCCTGCAGAAAAAGAATTGCAAGAGAAAAGAAATTACCGTAATCGAAATCGTTTTAACATCAATGGTGAAGAATTGACGACGATGGACATGATTTGCGCAATTTCTGACAATATTAAGAAGAATCCTGCAAAATCTGTGATTTGCAGGAAGCCAGAACAAGACACCAAGGAACGTTTCTACTTTTGGATTACAAACTATCTTGATCCCAGCACTGAGTTGTTGACAAAACTCCCTAATATGCCAGGTTATAGTCCAAATGATTAGGAAAATTTTCCAATTTTCCAACAAAAATTTTCCAATTCTCCACCAAAAATTTTTAATAAAATATTATTTTACGGCATTGCCCGTCACTTTTTTCGGTACAAGGCTAATATCACGGTATAACCCCCCTGAAAAGACTTTAATATAAAATAACATTTTTATTTTTACTAAGAAAAAAAAAGGTTTTTGATAATAAATTTATTTTATTTCGAAAAAGTAGCAATAATCGTAAAAGGGTATTGATAAAAAAAAAAAAAAAAAAAAAAAAAAAGGTAGTGGGGCTTCCAGGCACTTCGTGCCTTCTAGCCCCGAAGATGTTTAGTATAAATGAAGTTTAGAGGACATACATGACTATGAGTTTAAATACGATAAAATAGAATATGAGAGAGGTCCTATAAACCGGAAAAAGTGTCACAACAAAGAAATTTTACTCAGAAATTTATACAGAATTCAATAAAAATATATTTTAGGTGAAGAGGTGAGATCTCACCTGTTTTCTCACCTCTTTTCTCACCTCATTGAATTTACTGAAAAAAGTGTCACAACAAAGAAATTTTACTAGAATTTTATACAGAATTCAATAAAAATATATTTTAGGTGAAGAGGTGAGATCTCACCTGTTTTCTCACCTCTTTTTTCACCTCATTGAATTTACTGAAAAAGTGCCATATAAACATCTGTCAAAAGCCGCTTTTTAACTTCACTTAAAATGCCACGTAGGATACGTAAGAATATACGTAAGAGGAAGAGAGCATTGAAACATCCAATAGTAAGACTAACACCACAACAACAGTTGCAACAACAAATGCTGAATGACCCCACTATGTTGCAACAAATGTCAAGCAACCCTATGCTTTTAAACCGAGTTCTTGGTGCACAGAGTGGAGGTTTAAGAGCGGCACTTTTAGCGAAAATGGCAGGCTATGGTGGAGCTGCAGACGGAACAGCATATAACCCTCAAAGTCAAATGAATTTGAGTTCACTCAAAAATCAAATATCAGATGTCAAAAAGTCAAACATAGACATACAGAAGCAAATAAGTGAAAACGAAAAGAAACTAGAATACGACAGACACACAAAGAAACTCAATGAGTTAAACGTAGAGAAAAAGAAGAAAGAAGAACAACTGAAAGAACTAAGTACAGAGCAATATGCAAAAAAAGTGTCAGAAAAAGCAGCAGAAGTAGCAAAAATGGAACAAGATGTCATAAATTTGAAAAACCATACTACTCAATATAAAGTACTGAAAGATGAAGAGATAAAACAAAAAGCCCTGAAGACATATATGGATAGCGATGAGTATAAAAAAGAAGTTGAAGCAAATGTAAAGGCAGAAAAACTTTTACAGTTGCAAAACCAAACCGTACAGTATGAAAACTTAGCACAAGAAAGTAAAAATGACGACGCGGCTATGCAAAAGGCAATGAAAAGCGCAGAATATATAAAAGCTAACAATGACTGGTTAGATGCCCAAGCCAACGCTAAAGCAGCCCAACTTATAGGGTCAATAAGGACAAAAATACAAGCGGATGAAGACAGTTCAAATGAAGCTTTAACAAATGCTGACTTTAAGAACGCCTTCGAAGCTCTTCATAGTAAGGTGAAACAAGTGAACGACTTCTCATCTGGAAAGAAACTGAAGTCTGAAGGTTTCGACAAAGAGTTAAAAGAAGTAGCACAAAATATGACGAAAATAACAGATGCAGCAACGAGACAGGCAGTTCAAAGTGCCTATGACGCCGTTAGAGCAACTGTTGTGGAAAGTCAAGAAAAAGAGTTACAACAGACCAAAACAGACCTAGTAAATGCTTTCTTAAAAACGAAAAGTCAGGTAGGACACTATGCTGCAGATGGAACATATGTGCCAGCTGGTGGAACTTATATACCAGCTGGTGGAACTTATATACTAGCTAGTGGAACCTATATACCACCAAACCCTCCAAGAGAAGCACCTGCACCAGGACTACCTAAAACATTTACATCGTCACATGGACACAGACACAGGCATGCACCAAAACCAACACAACAACCAACAGTTCAAAATCCAGCACCTGCACCACCTCCACAACCAGCACAACAACAACAACAACAACCAGCACAACAACCAACAGTTCAAAACCCTGCACAACAACCACCTCCACAACCAGCACAGCAACCAACAGTTCAAAACCCTGCACAACAACCACCTCCACAAACAGAGCAAGGACATAAAAGAAGTAGAGAACAAGGAAACCAAGAATTCTTAAAAAGGCTTAAGGAAGACTATGGTTACCCAGATAGTATTGACTTTAGTGACAGATATAAAGAAGCTATTAGAAAGTTCAAGGGAGGAAATACTGACCCGAACCTATTTAGCTTTATGGTTCAGCACCAAATGGGATATAATTTCAAACCTGGAAAATACAAGCTCGCTAAGGGATATGATTTAATAGCATATCATCCAAATGACATGAACGAATTTACTCCGAGATATTTGATGTCAGAGCTAAATGACAATTCAACTCCCGTCATGAAACGCGTAAAAAATAGAGACGGAACGAAAGAAGAAAGGTTTATGAGTCCGGATGACTTAGAAAGGGAAGTTGTTAAAAACGGTCTCGGAATATATGAAATGCCAGCAGATGAGGTACAAGAAACTCCACAGGAAGAAGTTCAGATACAACCAGACATGGAAGAAATAGTTCAGCAACAACAGCTAGAAGAGCCTGAAGGAAACGAACAAGTCCCTCCTTTGGAAACTAACTTCACAGAACTAGATGAAGATTTGGAACAGCCGAAAAATCTTGACCCTCAACAAGAGCATGAGGTGAATATGGAATCTTTCCAAGAGTCTAAAAAAAATTCGGCTGACATAGTAGAAGAATATCGAAAAATGTTTGCCGACATACAAAAGACTCCAACACCAGATGAAAATATTCAGCATAGAATGGAAGTACTGAAAGAAAATGTACACAAATACAACAACCCTTTTTACTTACGAGCATTTAACGTTCAATCTTCGGATGAACTCGGTGAAAATAAAAGGTTAAATTTCAACAAAACATATAGAAATGAAACATTGTTTAAAGTTCATTCAGAACCTAACCAAGATGGAAACAAACCTACTTTTGTTTCTGCAGACGATGGAACTACAATGAGATGGGGTCATAAAGCTAATCCGGATAGGTGGTTCATAAACTTACAACCACAATTCCAAGAAGTTGTAGACGCAATGGAAGTGAATGGTGAACCAGATATAGCTGGTATTTTAAGCGCGGCTTTAATGCCATTGAAAGATATGAAAGATGCAGATATTTTGAACCAGTATGAAATGAACATGGCTGATGGAAATATAACACCTGACGTTCTAAAACATTTATCTCAAAGAACTACACAGAACCATAAAGATGGTATATTTGGTGAAGAGTTTAGAAAGAAAGTTAGGGAGATAGAAGGAAGAGAACCTATTGTACATGACCTTGCAAACGAAAGTTTGCAAAATGTCATAAAAACTTACTTTGCAGACAATGAACGAGAATGGATGAATATTTAAGAAAACTCAAATGGACAGTACCAAATGAAATGTTAGTATTGAAAAACATGTTCCTTGACAAAATAAAACCAACTACAGAAATAAACGACGCAAGACTGAAAGATTGGGTAAAAGCTTTCCCATTCACAAAAGATATTGTTGGTAACATGGAAAGAAAACCAGAATGGCTACAAAAACATATATTTGGAAACGAGCTTATTCCATATGGACAAGCTCTGTTTGAAGAGCTTGAACCGAAAACTCAGGAAAGAGTCATGCAAACAATACGCCAAGACTCAAATACAAACTATGACAAAATCTTTCTAGGATATTGGTTACCTGAGATGGGCGACCAGAGCCCAAAGGCAAAAAGGACATGGGAAATTTACAACATACTAGGTGAACATGAGGCAAAGATGCAACAACTTGAAGCAGAGGGCAAGTTACCAAAAGCGACACCAAAGAAGAAGAGAAGAGTAGAACAAAGTGAAAGTAGTGAAGAAGTAACTTGCATCTAGTGAAAGTAGTGGCAATGAAGGAAAAAGAAGATTAAAAACTCAGCCAGGAAGAAAGTAAAACTTGGTCCACTGGGTTCTATTATGACACATAAATCCAACTATTCTATATTTTTACACATATGAAATGTACGCCGCTCAGAATATAACGCCAACAGTTTTGGATGCCATGAATGGAAATGTTTCCGAATGGTATAAACGAATGCGACAATGCCATTAGAAGGTCAGAAATAGTTCCTGGAACTTACGAATATACAACTGCTGTTTCTTATGGAAACGTAGGTGAGTTTGAGAAGGTTCTTCAACAACAGTAGATATTGCTTGCGACAGGTTTCACATTATTTCTATTGACAACTCATTCTTATACGTGGAACAAGACATTGAAATAAAACCTTCTGCCAAGTTGTCTTGACAAAGAAAGGTTGCAATGGAATTTTCTATGTCGGATACCAATATGCTCCAGAAGTTTTCATGGGATATAAGATATATTCTAACTCTGACTTAGTTCAAACAGTAACATGGGCAAACTATGAATGGTTCGCTTTGAGAAACTCAGTACAACCACAAGCTAGAAACAAACAGACCAGTATGCAACTATTGAGAAAATAAGAAGACTTGACCCTAACGTTCCAGGAGTTTATGTTGACCTTTCTGGAAAAACTGCAGCAGCAGTAACCAAAGTAAAACTGAAACTTAGAGTTCCTTTGTCATCTTTCCTCATCTTCAGGTTTTTAAGATACTTGCCAAACTGGGCAGGAAAAATTTCTATCGAACTTACTTCCAAGCAAAAATAACTTAGTCATTGCACCAACACAAGACCCATTCACTCTTACAGACGTAAAGGGAGCAAATCAAACGTCATTCGCCGACTTTTGCAAAGACAAAGTTGACTTAGACTTTGGTTTCTCAAACTTTCAACACTGAAGTAAACTACTATTTCAATGCTGCTGGAACTGCTTGGGACCCAGTTAAGTTCACATGCGAAAAAATTTGAATGCAAGAGAATAGAAAGCAGACTTGCAGTCTATATGTTGGACCCAGATATTTCAAATGCTTTAGCTGCCAAATATATTGCAGTTCCACTTATGTTCCCTATACACCAAATATCTGTCAAAGACTTTGCAGGTGAAGTTGGAAACCAAAGTGCTGACCAGGTGCAAGAACAGATATTGCTTTAACAACTGCAATGAAACATGCAGATACTATGTTTTGTACTGTTCAGACGAACTATAAATGACTATTCTTGTTTCTACAACCCCGGTATTAAATATCATATAAACATAGATGGCAAATATTATCCAAGAGAAGAATATTCTACAGTTGAAGATATGAGTCATACAACTTGACATTAGATGCTATGAACTTTAACAACAACTTCACAACGACCATTAACCCTGAAATGCAAAGTTCTATTTGCCATATGTGAAAGTATGGACTCATACAGGAGGTCAAAAAACTCAATATACAAATGGAGACCGTTCAAACTTTGGCTTGGCATTCCATTTGCTGACTCAGAAGACTTTATGGGTGGTATTTCAACTGTTGGTACTGTACAAATACAATATACTGGTGACAGAGACGGTCCAGATGAATTGAAAGCAAAGAAGTTTACAAAACCAATAGCACTTTTCACGGAAGATGCTCTTTTGAAGATTCGTTCGATGAAACCTGCTGGGGCTCCTCAGGTTGGCATAACGACAGCTTCCATCGAGCAGATTTTGGCAGCAGGTCAGTAAGTTGTTCTTGAACTGACTTCTCTCCGTCAAATATTGACAGTACGCCAGTTTTGACATAAAATTGTATTATAAACTTTCCTTTAGAAATATCGGTCAGTTTTGAAGTTATATTTTTGTCTGCTTCAAGAACTTTCACCATTTCAGTTATACCAACTTTCTTTGCTTTATGAAAATATTTAGGTTCAGCAAATATTGCTATTCTATAACATTTTCCATTGTTTGTGTAAAGAACTATTCTGTCAATGTATTTGTATTGTTTGTGTGTGTAAACTTTGTTTTGCTTCAATTCGAAGAGATACTCAAATACGTCCATCTTTTTATTCTAAGTAAAATGTCATTTCCGAAAAATAGAAGCGTAAGTGTTTCAAAAGGTTTAATGGCGGTGGCAGATGTGAAGTTAAATTCACAACTCAAACAAACAGTCAAAGTGTTGTTGTCAATGTCAAAGACAGAGATGTTGAAGTGGGGAAACCATACGAGGACGAAGATGGTATAACAATTGTTCCTGTAAAAGAACAACCAACATACCCTGAAGTTAGCAGAGAGTTAAGTTCTGTTGCAGATATTCGAAACGACTACCAACAACTTAAAGACAAACTTAAAACTCAGGAGAAGATTTGTCAAGCTTTAGTATAATGTTAAACTTGGTCGAACACAACCCTGTAAAAGTGAACTCATATGTCATTGCACCTCATGAAGTTTTGAAAGAACTATTGAAACTTTTGACAGAGGCAGACGATATAAACATCAAAGAAATAGAACCCGACATTGCTTGCTGTGGTGTTTCATTATAATGTCATTGACAAGATATACGTTATGAAAGGAGGTGAAACGTTGAACTTAAAGTATAGTTTCCCAGACGTCATAAAAATATTTGACGACCACAACATTTCATTAAAAATTTATTTGCTAAGTAAAAATGTCAAAACTTCTTGAAAGATGTTTGAAGAAAAATAATATAGACTTTATTTCATGTAAAGGACTTTACACACTTTTGAACGATATGAAAGACCCTGTTTTGTTTGTTCGTGTAGACAAAGGAAAGTTCTATGTCTTTACAAAATATTTGAACTTCTTAGACAGAGAACTTCAAGAAAACGCCATGTGAAAGTTTAGATGAAGTTCTTCTCCACTTTCAGAAAAACTTTTAAATATATGTAAATGGCAGAAGACATAGTGGTTTATACTATTACGACTAAAAACCCTGAGTCATATAATTCTATAACAACAAACTTACAAAGTCCTCAAGGACGATATTGTAAACTAACCTTAAAACACAATGACGACTAAAGCCTGTTTTGCTCTTTTGACACCAGAAGACTTTGTTGTTGTGAATGGTAAAAAATACTTCTTTGAAGATACTTACTCAGATATACCACCAACAGGTTTTGTTGACTTATTTAATACTTTAAGGACGGATGTAACATGTGCTGCAACTAGAGCAGGTTTCATTATGTTTGGATGTCCGACTGAGTTTACTATAAACGATATGAGCTATAATACAAAACTTATATCTGGTTTTTACTACCAACAGTTTCCTATAACAGGAAAAGGTGTCATACAAGGTCTATCTATTCCATTGACTTTAAGTACACCTATTTTATATATTGTTTCAAACTTAGGTTCAAAGTGTTATTCGAATGTCGACAGAAACTACTATGACCAAAAAATACTCATGCGTATAAACAACACTTTCTCTGCTGGTTTGCCTATTGTTCATTCGAATGCAGAGTTTTCAGCTTTAGTAAACTCAAACACTTTAGCAAACATAAACTTAACCTTAGTTGACGCAAACTTTGTTCCTGTAAAACTTTTATGTCCTATGTATTTGTCAATGACGGCAGAAAGTTTCGAATTGGAAGATGCAACTGGTGAAAGTATTGTATTACAAGAACAACTTCAACAACAAATAGCTCAAGAACAACAAATGCAACAAATAGCTCAAGAATAAAAAAAAATATTTTTTTATTTTTATAAAAATGTACAGAATAGATGTTTCAGATTTTTATGACTTCCAAACATTCAGAAATATGTGTCCATTTCGAGACTATAACAAAGCAGTCGAGAATTTGAAACGTTTAGTCATTTATGTCGACTCTGCCCCAGAATGTTATGTCATGAAAGAATGGGATGTTGTCTTTAACAAACCTAAAGCGACAATAGTTTCAGAACAAGAATGTAAACAGAAACTTAAGAAATAAAAGTTGTACAAGTTGGCATGAAGATGTTAGATGCTTGGGATATCTTATTGTCAAAGTTAGAAGATTTTTCAGTTCGTGGTATAAAGTTCTATACACCTTCTCCAAACTTCTATTCTATCTTCACTGGATATAAATATGAACAAGTAGAATGGAAAGAAAATGTTATAGAAGCTTGGTTAGACCATGTCAAAGAAATTATATGCAATGGAAACGAAAGAGTCTATGAGTATATCTTATGTTGGTTTGCAAACATCTTACAACATCCAAGTGCTAAAAATGAAACTGCTCTCATCATAATTGGAAAACAAGGAACTGGTAAGAACACTTTCTTTACAGATATCTTATGCAAACTGTTAGAGGGCTATTCGAATCCGAATATGACAAACTTAGAAAACATCTGTGGCAAGTTTAACTCCTCAATAGAGAATATGAAACTTATAGTTTGCAATGAACTTCAAAGTATAGATACAACAAAAGTTTTGAACTCAGATGCTTTGAAGAGTCTTATAACAGACAAAGTTGGAGTTGTTGAAAGAAAATATAAAGACCAAAGAGTTTGTGAAAATGTTGCAAACTTCGTCATGGTTTCAAACAATGCTGTTCCGATGAAGTTAGAAAGTTCTGACAGAAGATATGTAGTTGTCAGAACGTCAGATTCTCATATGCAAGATACTGAATATTTTGACGACTTAGCAGAAACTTTAACATCTGACTTTTACAACCACTTGTTCTCATATTTCATGACATTAGATATTTCTAAGTTCAATCCAAGACAAATTCCACATACCGAAGAGAGACAAACATTGTTAGAAGCAAACAAGAGTGTATATGAACTGTTCATAGATGAAACTGACTTTGAGTGTTTAGATGAAAGGTCATTGTACGATTCGTATAAACAGTATTGTCAAGAGTATGGTTATATGACAGCGTCTAAACGAACATTCTTGGCAAATGTCAAAAGTCTTTTAGACGTACAGAATGGTGTATATACAAAGAAAAATTTTTCTGAGTAAATTTAAAAAAAATATTTTTTATCCGATAGAAAAGATGACAGAAAAATTAACTTTTTACATAGCGCCAGACCCTTCTTGCCCACATCTTTTTAAGCCACAATATATAGACATAGAACTAAATAGAGAAAGCGAAATTCTACAAACAGAAGAAACATATAGAGACCTAGATAACGAAAATGGATATGCGCTATTCTGGTTAGATTGTCCTTATGAAATGTATGAAAAAAGGGCTTTATATGAAGAATATAGAAAATATTGTCATGAAAACGATATAAGACCAAGCTCTAGAGAAAAATTCTATGCTGGTATAAAACATCTTTTTGAAGTTCGGAATGGCAAATATAGAAAGAAATAATTTTTCTGAGTAAATTTTAAAAAAAATATTTTTTTATCCGATAGAAAAGATGACGAAATTCATCTCAGTAAACAAGTACATGTCAGGACTTAAAGAAGAACTAGACCCATTCACATATTTGAATGTTTACTTCTACCATTTTGAAAAGTCTACATATGACAAAGTTTGGAACATCGAACCGGTTAAGTTTGCTATTGTGACTAAAAATGGTGCGAAATTTGAAGACTTAGACATAGAAGGTTTGTTAGCAGTCAAAGAAAGTTTTGACAGAAGGTTTTCAAACCTTAAAGAAGGCAAAGCATACAAACTTGTTATACCTTATGAACCAAAGAAGACAGACGACTATGAATATTATGAGTCTAAGATAGTTGAAGTTCAAGGTAAATTGGGTAAAAAGATTTTAGAGTCTAAGCCGGTGTTTGCTCCTAAAGAGGAAGAGAACATTGACATTGACCCAGAAATGTTCTAAAAATAAAATTTTATTTTTACATGTCAAATTTCTTCTTCTCTGGCTCTGGTTCTTTCTTCTCTTCTTCTACTTTCTTTTCTTTCTTTTCTCTCTTCTTCTTTTCTGGTGGAGTTATGTCAAACTTCTCCGAACCATATTTCTGTAAAAGTTCTTTGTCCTTTAATAGCTCTTCTATTCTGTTTTCTATTTCATCTTCAAGAACAGCGCATGTGTCTTCTTTGCATTCTAAGAACTTTTGTTGGACTTCATCTTTCCAATCGGCGTCATCTCTGTCAACAAGTCTGTCATTGACAAATTTTAAGACTGCTCTTTGTAATGTTTTATGGTTCTTGTCATATTCCCAGAAACAGAACTTTAGAACAAATTCACCTTTCTTGTTTACACTATGTAAGATTTTATGGTCTACAGATGTTTTGCTGTCGAAAAGCTTGTCTCGAATATAGATGGCGAAATCGCTAGACATTTTCAAAAAGATAAAAATTTTAATTTTTCTAAAAATATGTTAGAAAAAAAGTTTGCTGACATTGACAAAAAATTTGAGAATATTTTAAACAAGAACAAGAGGAAGTTAGAAAATGCTCAAATAAAGCCTATACATGACAAGTTCTTATTTGCTCAGAATGGTATAACAGGTCTAATTGCACCACCTGGGTCGGGTAAGACTTTCACTTATCTTAAAATGGCTGCACAACAACAAGAACTAGATGAGAAGAACCCATTCTATGAGTTAGTTGTCATTTGTAGTACTTCTGGTCAATTTGACCAAACCGTCAATTCGTTCAAAGATATTATAAAGAAGTCTAAGTTAGTATGTATAAAAGACTCTGAGTTGTTAGATTGGATAAAGAAGTACCAAAGAAGAGTTTTGAAGTACAATGCTATAAATGAGTATATAAATTCGAAGTTTAAAGACCCAAATGAGGAAATGCAGAGAATATTAGAGAAGAAACACTTCAGAAACA